GTTCTTATGCATCTATCTAGTATAAATAGCTATTAATTGCGTAGTTTCCCTTTTTCGCCTCTTCGCCTGCCTGCTGACTGCGTGTCGCTCAGCCTCTGCTAGTTATTCGCCATTATTTAAAATGTAATTGCATATCTAAATTTATGTGGCGCGTTTAGCAACCTTACAATCGTGTATCAGTTGCAAAGATATGTGATAAGAAATTCATCACCCGAAAATAAACTATGTTTCATTATCAAGCTGATCGTACTTCTAAAATTCCATCGGCTCTTTCCGCGATGACGCATTTTCCAATCATCTACGCAGCAGTAGTTTCGGCTATGACTAGAACGTGAATTGTTTTATCTCCCGCCGAAAGGAAAAACATTACACAGAGTCCGACAGGATACATATTCTGTGTGTCTAAATTCCAATGGAAAAGTCATCGCAGTGTCTACACTAACCAAACACCTTTTCAAACTTCAATGTGTACTCTCGGCTTTGAGAATAGTCTCGGCACTGAGAATATTGCTTATGATGTACCAAAGCGAATGTGATGCACTTGTGATGAAGAAGAGGGAGAGGGTAATCAATCCGGCATCTATTCTTGCCAGCAATTCCAGCTGAGACCCAACAGTGTAATACCCAAGTGCGTAAACCATCATTCCGATAGACTAACTGATTGTTAAAAGTAAAATTGAGGAAAGTCTAGTATGCCTTCATCTGTCTTGGATGCATAAGGATTGCTTGCAGTATTTTTATTCCCTTGTACGAAATAAAGGAAGTATTGTAATCGCCAAAAATTTCGGATGTCATATTTCAACCAAAATATCCATTTTGACCGCTCTCGATTCCATTTCAACAGGTTTCTGCGTGATATCTGTACGCACGGACAGAATAAAGCGCTCTTTTTCTGTGGATTAAAAATGAATTCAGAAGAGAATTTTCTGTGAGGTCTGTCAGTACGTACATACGTATGTATGTATTTTGCATCACTCAAAAATGAGTAGATTGAGAGCGTTGAAATTTTGTATATGGGACTGCCATAACATGTAGTTGTGTAACCTTCCTTTTTGCCTTTTTGGTTGCAATCGGCCATACCAAACGTATATATATGTAAAATATAAAAAAAAAAAAAAAAATACGATGGCTATGCTCTTTGCGAAACAGCAACCTTTAATTAATTTTCTGCAATTCAGGATCTTCCCTTAAGCCAGTACCTTCTAGAACATTCGCACCCATTACATAACCTCCTCATATAAATGCTGCGTCATAAGTTTTTCTACATTTTTCTAGAAGCTACTCTGTTACATAACCTTTCATATAAATGCTGCGTCATAAGTTCTCCTACACAGTTGCCTTCTCGCCTTCGTCCTGCTAACGCTTTCACTATGCTCCTCTTTCTTTGTTAGAACGTTATGACGTATTAAAGTTAGTCGTATCTAATAGTTAAATAAGTTATTTGATTAACTTCATCTGGAAAAAGTCATCTGCTCTAAATTAAAATAAAGATATGCTTGCTGTTAAAAGTGAAAAGTCCTGAGTCGTCATTTTTCTCCGTGCTTCAATCATCCCAGCTTCGTCAACCATCTGCCAGAACGTGCAATGGATCGCCCACTATGTGTTGGAATAACTGAAAACATTACAGTTATTAATTAGCCGGTAGGATGTATCCTCTACGTGGGAAAAAAGCTCCTGGATTTATTTCTAACGCGCTTCTAAATTCAACAGTGGGTCAAGGACAGTTGTGTGATGGTCTTATGTTTTTGCTTCTTTTCCGGCGGTGCTTAAGTCTTTTACTTCGGTTCCAAAGCTATGCGTTTTATTAAGTGCTTCTAAAGTGATTGATTTTAGTGTTCAAATTAATGTGTATGCGAACTCTTTCAAGATTTTGTGATTGGAATGCTAACACGCTCAAAAACGGCAAAAATGTCAACTGATAAGCAAGAATCCGTAGCTATTGTGGATACAGTGAAATTTCAATTCCCTATTTTTGATGGCACAAGTACAAATTTTCCAATAGACAAATATCTTCTATTGTTTGAAGAGAAATGTGCCGCAAAGAACATTCCAGAAAAGGAAAAGAAATTTGTTTTCTCAGAGTGTATTAGAGGAGAGGCTTTAGCCCTCTATTTACGTGATTGTTTAGATAAAGACTGAAACAACATAAAGGATATTTTCGAGACATACTTCACAACATCGGAATCTGTTACTTTTAGTGATTTTGTGTCTTTAAAATACGAGAAATTTAATAATATTGATGTTTATTTTCGTAATAAGTTGAAATTAGGAGCCAGCTTGAAACTAACAGATTCCACAATGGTGGAAGCACTTACGGAAGGACTTCCTGAGTCTCAAAGAATGCTGTTAACAGTGCAAAACATAGACACACCGAAAGACTGGATTACTCTTGCTAGGAAACTGTTTCCAGTTCAGATGCCGTTGGATGGTCTAGGAAATAGTAATTACCAATTTGTTTCTCCAAGGCAAACTGTTCCGAGGTGCTATTATCCCAGACCAGTGCAAGCCACTCCTTATCAAAGTTTTCGTAGTGTGAGACCTTTTAATTATCAACAAGTGCAATACCGACCTCTACAGTATGCGTATCGGCCAATTCGATATCCACAATTACCTGCTATTAATTATAACACGGTTCCTAAAAGAGAAGTTAAAAAATGATATTACTTTAAAGTGAATGTCCAAATTGGACAGGAAAAAAATTCCCAGTATTACTGATACGGGACCGCAAATTAACGTTTTACCGTTAAAAATTTTTAACAAAATTGGTGATAAATTTAGAGAAATTTCAGTGAAATACCATGATAAAATATTTTCAATATCTAGTCAAGTACATATAGAGAAAATAATCAAAGTAAAGTGTAAAGTAGGTAAAATAATAGAAAATAATGTGATATTTTATGTAGTAGATTCAAATTTGAATTATTTATTGCTTTCATCACCATGTGTTTCATTATTTAAATTACAATTGAATTTTCATAATTATGAAGTGTATGTATCAGCTTGGAAAACAGGTAAGTAAAAATGTTAAAGTAGACAAGTTTTTCCAAAATAATTATGTATGTAAAAATGATATCAGTGCTGAACAATCTAGTAAATATTTTGATAATAGCGAAAATTTTGTATGTAAAAATGATCTTAGTACTAAAAATTGTGGTAATTATTTTGAAAATAGTAAAAATTCTGATAGTAAATTACAGAAATTGTTGAATGATTATAATAACCATATATTTGCAAAAAGTAAATATGATGTTGGTTGTATAAGGGTTGAACCTCCCAGAGTTATATTAACTTCTGAATTACCAATAGCCTATAGACCATATAGAGCATCTCCTAAAGATAATAGTGAAATTAAAAAACAAATAGATGAATTGTTAAAAGCTGGAATTATTAAACCTTCTTATAGTCCTTATGCTGCTCCTGTAACTTTAGCTTATAAGCGAGACGAGCAGTCCAGAAGCAGATTGTGTATTGATTTCAGGAAGCTTAACCAAATTACTAAAACTGATTCTGAACCTATTCCTAGAATTGATGCTGTATTAGATCAATTAACAAATGCAAAAATCTTTTCTACATTGGATTTGGCATCAGGCTATTGGCATATAAAATTAAATGAAAAGGATACTGAAAAATTGGCATTCACTACAAATTTTGGACTGTATGAGTTTACTAGATTACCTTTTGGTTGGAAAAATTCCCCAGCTGTTTTCCAACGAGCTCTTAGACAAATTTTAAACAAATATCAGATTCAATTTGCTTTAAATTATTTTGATGATATTATAGTATTCTCTCCAAATTTGATGATGAACATTTAAATCATCTTAAAATAATATTTGATATATGTGAGAAAGAGAATATAAAATTAAAACAATCTAAATGTAATTTTGCTAAAGAAAAATAAATTTTCTAGGATATGAAATTCAAGCAGGTAAATACCAGCCCAGTAATGCAAATATAGAGGTTATTAAGAAATTGCAACCCCCTAAAAATATCAAAGAATTACAAAGATTTTTAGGAAGTATTAATGTTTATCATAAATTTATTCAAAATTATGCTAAAATTAGAGCCCCATTAACAAAATTTACTTAAGAAAGGTACTCCTTATAATTGGACTGATGAATATCAAAAAGTTTTTTAAAAATTAAAAGATGCATTGATTTCTAGACCTATTTTAACTTTGTTTAATCCTAAATATCCCTGTCATGTATTTGTTGATGCGTCCAAAGAAGCTGTTGGTGGTGCTGTTTTAAAACAAGAACATCCTGATGGTAGTTTACATCCAATTGCTTTTCATTCTAGAAAATTAAGATCTTATGAACAAAATTATGCCATTACTGAGCTGGAATGTTTATCTATTATTGATGCAATTGATAAATTTTATTATTATTTACATGGTAACCATTTTACTGTACATACTGATCATGCTGCTTTAGTTTGGCTTAAAAATATAAAACACCCTACAGGTCGTCTATTTAGGTGGTCTTTAAAATTATCTATGTATGATTTTGATATAAAATATAAAAAAGGATCTACTAATGTTGAAGCTGACATGCTCTCTAGAAATCCTATGTGTCAACATTTAAGATTGCAAGTTAATTTATTATCATTAGAAGAAGAAATAAAAGAATATCAAAATTTAGATAATGTTTGTAATACTAAGTATAGGAAAATGAATGATGTCTTAACTATCAAAAAAACAGGGATTGTACAAAATTGTTATGATTAATATTAGAAAGCAAAAGCCGGAAAGAATCGGCTATCTAATCTTATATCCTTTTCGTTCATTCAGTGAGGGGGGCTCGTAACTCGAAAATCCTGGAAATTTTGAAAATATAACGCTGATTTTTGTTGTTTGACTTCTGAATTAGTACGTGTCTGTAGTTTTAAGGAAACGTATAACGTATATAATTTAAGTATTTATAGCTCATTTAACAGAAAGAAAGATGTATTTCAAAACAGTAGATTAAACACGAACTCAGAATAGAATGTAAATTGAACATTACCTGATCTGAACACCAGTACCATACAGCATTGATTGTAAGTCCGATTGTCATTCCGGTTATTGGCAAATCAGGATCAGATGGTGGTCGAAGAAGGTGCATGTAGTTGTCAGGAACTCGGCTGCAAGATTTGTTATCTGCATCATATCCGGCGTAACTTTCATTTACATGGACATTTTTGAAGTCTTCTATTAACTTTGAATATCCACCAACTTTTGCAAAACCTAAGTGATTTATAAAGTGTACTTTAAACTTAAAGGCGATGAACTGCAAATAAAGGAAGTACAGTTTCTGTATATTTACTTATATAATATTATATATATGACATATACGTTGCTTGGGAGGGAATTCCTCGCCTGAAATAACTTATGCTGAAAAGACAGCTTTCACTCTGACACTGAAATACGTAAGGAGAGTGTAAAAAGGAATAATCAAATAAAAAAATATACATGGAGGGTGATTACTCAACAAAAATTTCGATAGTAGTTTATGAAAGCCAAAACAAAAAAGAAATGTAAATTCATATTTTTGTTCTTTTTTAAATTCCTACTATTAGCTTACCCTCGCCCTGTATCTTATTTAAATTTTCAATCGTTAATAAAATAGTTTTTATTCATCCACTCAAGTTCTCTAGTTGTTTTAAAACTTATAGTGGATGACACTTGATGTTAATACAGTTTTTCCCATATTAAAAATGTTTAAAATCTTTAAAATTTTTAGTTAAAAACTTTAAAAATTTTTTTGGTGTATTTTAAAAGTGTTCTTTGTTGACTTAAGTAGGAATTGACTTTAAAAAATTTCCTTACTTAATTAATTAATTTTCAATCGTTAATGAAATAGTTTTTATTCATCCACTCAAGTTCAAATACATTTTTTTAAACTTGTAGTGGATGACACTTGATGTTAATACAATTTTTTCATATATTAAATTTTTTTTTTGTATTTAAAAAAATTTTCTTTGTTGACCTTGTTACTTCTTTAAGTAGGAATTGACTTGTTACTTCTTTAAAGGCATTTCAAGATATTACTGTCCTATTATCATTGACAAGTTGAACGTAGAATTACTAAATTAAGATATGTTGAACAACTATGAAAAGAAAAGTCTCAAGATTCATCTCACTGTAAACATTTACGAGCTCGTATGAAGCTTACAATTTAATTAGTTATTTAATTTTTCTACTTATATATAAAAATTTTATTTATGCCATATGAAATTTACATACAGATACTTATTTAACATGCTAATTACACGTATTCTTACATAAAAGGAAAACACTGGAAATATTTATTTGTTACTTTTTAACCGATTTTATTAAATTAATTAAACTGCTAAGAAATTGTAAAATATGTTACGAATGAATATTTTAATTTTTCATCTATCAAAAAATATTTATATTTTAATATTTCACCTATCATCTATAAGCTATAATAGGATGGCTCTAGGTACCGTTGTTTTGTCACAATGCGAGAAAGATGCATACATTTATGCAGATTCTTCATTGTTTAATTTCTTCAAATATAATACAGGACGATAATATTGGGTGGCAACAGTTTCATAAAAGAAACGGACATTCAGAGCGTTTCGACGCAAAATCTCAAAACGGAAACAATATTCCCTCAGGGCCAAAGCCCCTTTGGACTAGGAAGAATAATTGTCTTACGGTTAATTTTATAGCCTCATATCTATACAGTAGTAAAATTTTGTAGATCAACGGCAAGTAGATCTCTCATTAGTTGCTTCTTCACCCAATGCTTTATTAACATTTTTTTTTTTTCTGCAGCCACTACAGAATTTCTCAATGTGAAGTCTCACTGGTAGAGTAACCTTATTTGGTTGGACTCCATGACTGGTTTGATGTCGCTAGGGTTCAATGTTTAATGTTCGTGAAGGAAACAAATACTCCCCACCAGAAGAAAACTAGAGTCACTTAGTCGTTATTTAATTTGCTACTATTCAATATATTTAGGAGAATGGCAACTTCGTGAATGATAGATAAAAAAGTATACTTAACGCATTACCGAAACTTAAGTCTTACCAAACTCTATTTGCAGATAAACTTTTCTTTTTGTCCATGGTCTTCTGTGCTGCATGCATTATAGATCTGTATTTGTAATCTGCATTTATGTCGATGTGAAATTTCCTTCCGTTTGAGATGTTCATGCATCATGTTATAAGGTATTTCTCTCGCCTTCTTAGCATGCCTTCGTGGTGTAATGGTCAGCACGCTCGACGCGTATTCGAGAGATGCATGGTTCGAGTCCCGGCAAGGGCATTGCTCATTTTTCATGTCCCTCAGCAAACCACACAGCGAAATATTGCAAGGAAGATAAAGTCTGTGCCGGATGCGGCTCCACAGACCACGAGAAGACCAATTGCGACTAAAAACAGTCAGCTGTGTCAACTGCACAAAGGTGAATAAACAATATAATACAGGCCTCCATACCCTACATGATAGCCGAGATAAGAAATGCCCATGCTACCTAAAAGAGCTCGAACGACTAAAACAACGAACATATTATGGATAGTATCCAAATAATTCAGATTAATCTTAAGCACTCCAGGAGTGCAACAGACAACTTAAAAGATAAATTTTGAACAGAACGACAAACTCAAAGTAGCATGTATCCAGGAACCGTACACAGTCCAGAACAAACTGTACGGATTCCCCACAAAATATAGAAAGTTCTACTCTCGAACAGACGCAAAAACTGCAGTGATTACAGCGGCACTCAAATCTCCCAGTTTTGGAACGTTTCAGCTCTCTAGAGATTATAGCGGATTATAGCGCTTGCAATAGGCAGTGACTCATTTATACTAATCACGGTATACTGTCCTCCACCGCAAGGCATTGCACCAATCCTGACAACCCTAGAAAGGTTTATGCAGGACAATAACAACATGACTACAATAATTACCGGAGATTTCAATGCAAAGTTTCCTATGGGGCTCACATAATACGGACACACGAGGTCTCAAAGTATGGGAATTCATTGCCAGCACTGGACTATCGATTATCAATGAGATAGGGGATACACCAACCTTAGCAAGAGTAAGTGGCAACAGCTGGATTAACCTCACACTTATCATAAGTAGAGACAGAATCCGGATCGATAATTGGAAGGTAACGGACGAAGCAAACAATAGCGATCATAATAATATCTATTTTGACGTCTCCAGCATTCATTACCCAACATGGAGAAGATCGAAAATCAATGTACGACATACCGACTGGCTAAGTTTTAAAAGATATGTCTCAAAATCTCTAGCTGACTCTAGAAATCTGACAACTATCGAAGAAATCGAAAAATATGTAAGATAAGTTACCACTAGTCTTCACGAGATCTATCAAAGAACAGTTCTCTCACATAACTCGAAACCAAGATCGCGCACCTGTTCATGGTGGACAAAAGATCTCACTATTCTCAGGAAAAAGTTTAGAGCAACAAGGAAAAGATTCCAAAAAACAACTGGAGAGGAAAGGACCCATAACAGGCTGCTTTACCAAAACGTACGTGCACAGTACCGGCAAAAGATGTATAAAGAAAAGAAAAAAGCATAGGACATGACATGGAACAAATGACGAGCACAATTGAGGATACAATTAGAGAAATCATGAGGTTTCATTTTCCAGAAGACGACCTCAACGAGGACGCTACATATGACGCAGATATCCGTGCCCAATCAACCGAGATTCCAAACTCGGAAGACGATCAGCCGTCACACTCGAAGAAATGCAACGTACGATAAACTCAACACGCCGAGGTAAAGCTCCTGGGCTGGATGGCCTCACGATTGAAACCATTGAAGAGCTTAGGCTCGCGGACGACAAACAAATTCTAGCACTCTTTAACAAGTGCCTTGAATTAGGTTATTTCCCGAAGGAATGGAAAAACGAAGAGCTAGTATTGTTCCAGAAAGAGGGAAAACCAAAGTCCATGCCCAGTTCTTACAGACCTATCTGCTTACTCTCAGCGTGGGGCAAAGTCCTTGACAAGATGCTTACGCAGAGATTAACGTATTACCTGGTCAAAAACAAAATACTAAACCCCGCTCAATTCGGGTTTACTAAAGGGCGGAGCACCACCGACGCCCTCAACCGTGTTCAAGACATCATCGTAAATAACAGACAAAATAACATCCATACGTTTATAATATCGCTTGACGTAGCTTCAGCATTCAATGAACTATGGTGGTCAGCGCTCAAAACAAAACTAAAAGACCTGCGATGTTCAAAGAATCTTTAACAACTGATCACAAGCTACCTCACAGAACGTCAAGTGACGTACAAAAGAGATGCCCTAAATATCACGATGAATTACTACAAAGGAGCCCCACAGGGGTCTAATATCGGACCCATCCTGTGGAACATAATTGCAGACTCAGCGCTGAACATCAACTTTGGAGACAATGCCAAGATACAAGCTTACGCCGATGATATTATACTCATAATAGACGGAGGCAATAGGACAACAGTAGAGCGTAAAGCAGACGCAGCACTCAAATTGCTTACAAAATGGAGTCAAGACAACAAACTGTGTTTCAGTATTGAAAAGACACCGATGATAGTCTTTCCAAAAGGTTCAAAAATAGACGCGAATCTACCACGCATAAAGTGGAAAGGGCATCCACTGCTACGCCAGGATACCATTAAATACCTCGGATTCACGCTTGATAAGAAGCTCACGTGGGTATCACATCTTACGGAAGTCCGAGATAAGACGCATCGAATCATCAATAAACTAAACAGGACAATCACAGACAAGTGGAGCCAAAATTGGCGCCTGTTAAAACATCTGTACCTTAATGCAATTGAGCGCATGATCCTCTACGGCTGCCCAGTCTGGATGAATGGCACAGCAAGAATATGTCAAAAACTACATCAAATACAGCGAGTAATCCTGTTAAAAATCACCAGTACGTATATCACCACGTCAACCGCAGCACTTCAGGTTTTAGCTGGCACGCTCCCACTCGACCTAAAAGCAGAATTAGAAAGATCAATCTATCGACTTCTACATTACAAAGAGGACCTTCACACTAAAGAAGATTTACATCTATCCTATGTCAGCATAGAAAGCTTCCAAGATCCCCCTGACTTACACCCAGGAGATCTACCCATCCTTTCCTGGTGCAAATCGCCACCCTCAGGACAACAAAGAGAGATTTTCTCTGACGGTTCGAAAATTTCAGGACTAGTAGGGGCAGCATTCACAGTCTTTTCGAACAATGAAGAAATTTATCAAGCACAATTCCGTCTAAGCAATCAATCATGCGTCAGTCTTCCAAGCCGAGACCCTAGCACTCAAAGAAGCAGCACTATGGTTAGGTACGCAACCAAGCAGCTCACACTTCATTCTTCACAGATAGCATGAGCGTTCTGAATGCGCTGAATTCCTTTCTTCCAAAACATCCGTACACGGCAGCACTTAAGAGAGATCTTCTTGACGTTAGGCTCTTCCATACCTTTAAAGATCAACTGGATAAAAGGACATACCGGGCAGAAAGGCAACGAACGAGTGGATGAACTAGCTAAGACTGCAGCTCTCAAACCAGAAATTGACAAGGAAGTTCCGCTTTCCGCAGAAGTTGCAAAAAGGCTCCTCAAGACAGCATTTCAAGAGACATGGTCATCACGATGGCAGGAAGAAGAGACAGGAAGATTTACTTACAACATCTTCCCAATACCTTCTCTCTCAAGAGGCTCAAATGCAACCGACCCTTCCTCCAAGCCTGTACCAACCACGGGAAATTCCCAGCGTATTACAGACGATTCCTCAGACGGGACTTCAAGTGTTCTTGCGGTTTTCGCGGGAAAGACGCGGACGCACTTGATTACCTGCTCTCCTGCCCTCTGACAGAGCACCTTCGACAGCAGTTCTTTCCTTCCGACTAAATCACATATCCTGTGAATAGACTGTTCACGAACTATTACTGCAAAAAGGGCATATTAGAGATAATGAAGCAAGTGAATGAAAATAATTATACCCAAGAAACTACAGATTAATGTAAAATGTAGAAAGGCGGCCTAACCGTCACATTGCTAGCAATGACTGGGATGACTTCCTAACCCTGTAGTGCCATTAACTTAGTTTGGGGAACAGGTTAAGTAAAGTGACCATATGTCTCCCAGCATCAAAAAATCCTAATGTATCTACAAGGTACATCAGTGCTTAAGTAAGAAGCTTTGTGTACTTTGTCGCACTGACTTGGAAATACTATAAGAGCGACTGCGACTAAACCAATCTTGTGTTGAAAAAAGTAAGTTTCGTTTTTGGTGGAAAGTTTTTCCACCAAATACAAAGCCTTGGCTAGAGCAGTCTATTCTCTCTATCCTGTGTGATACATACGTGCACTAACTTTCTTTGAAACATGTCCACTGATAATCTTTGGGAAGTTTTTTCTGCAGGGAGCACTTTAAATGAAGACGTACAACATACTTTTGAAGCTAAACTTAGCCATTCTCTTCCCTTCTGGAACATACTGGAAATCTTAGGCATCTTGAAATCTTACCTTCGTGGACATATTAATATCAAAATAGATCTCAAGCAGTTTTTCTTTTGGTATTACACTTTCGCTTTGCTTATTTATTAAAAGGAATCCGACTTTTTACATTTTTGCTGAATTTTAATTTATTTATGCTTTATTGGTGCCAATTTAGTCAAAGAATTTAATAAATTAAGACGCACTATTTTCCACCTTTTTATAATTTTATCATCAATAACATTTCGTTTAAAATATTAAGAAAATTTCAGTATTGAAAGCAAATGACTGTCACTTACTAAGAATGCACAGCACCAAAGCTCCAAGTAACATGAGAATAGTTTGAGCAAAATCAGTCCAAATAACCGCACTCAGTCCACCTAAATACAAAAAACTGAATTTAAAAATGCAATTAATTCATACAAAAGTTTGAGTTTTTATTAGAAAAGAAAGGCTGTAAGTAAAATGTAAAGTTAGGCAAAAAAGCAACCTTAGACTAGTCCAGAACTCTGAATAAAACTGTATTGATTTTGAGGGTGATCAGATATAGAACCTTATTCTTCGGAAGCGCAATTGGGGAAGGGGCAACAATTGCTTTACATAGAAAGTAATGCTGGAAGCAAAGCGGAAACAAATGTAACACCTTCTCTTGAGGAAAATTGTAATAAAACTTGAAAATAATAGAATTGTGGAAGCGTTAGAAAGAACTGGATTTGAATTAATATTAAATACAAAATAGAAATAATAAACATTTCATCAACTGAAGAAGATTTGTAGATAATTTTCGCAGAATTAAAGTCAAAATTTTGGTTGAGGACTAAACTATGATTAGTTATCGAAGACTGGTTTATTTCTTCTTCTCAAACTTAGGATTTCTACACCTTGATGCGAAATTTAAACATTTTTTAATTTCTCTGATATCCGTAAATATGTGTTATCAATTACTCAGTATGCGAAGCTTAAATTTTATTTAAATTATTTTTTTATTTTGTTAGTAAAAGTTTTGAATTTCTTAAAAAAATGTTTGGCCTTCCAGTTAATTTCAGACCTTGCATTCAGCACGAAGGCGATTTGAGTTTGAGACTACTGATATGTACCATCGATTCAACAAGCTAATTATATCGATGGTATGATATATGATAGAACCACCACACTGTAAAAAAAAAAACCTCGGAGTTTACAGACAAAAGTCTTGTATAGTTACAGAAATGCGAACAATTACGAAGGAAATACCTGTAACGAACACAGAACCAAACCAAACTGTAAACTCTACAGGAATTTTTCAAGAAGTTTTGCTTTGATTTTGTCCGTAACGTATGATCACGTGGCTTAAAACGGCTGAGAGAGAAGAACCAATCAGGAAGAAGGTGGAAAAAGCGTTTTAGCGGGAGAGTTCAACGATAGTCGCCATGTTAGCCATTATTTTTGTTATGGTCGAGGTAAGTTCGAAGTCAGTGTTTGACGTGTATTTTATTAATTTTATGTAATGTATTTGTTATGTTCTTTACACTATCTATAATTAAATTCTTTTAATGTTTAGCGCTTATCGCTCAAGTAGGTGAACGCGATTTCTGGAAGTTCGCCAAGTGCCGGTTATCTGAGTATCCCCTTTATTCGTTACATCTGCAAGTGTCTGCAGTTAAACTGCTCATATTTATAAACAGAAACAAATTTGTTAATATGTTAGTTGAAAAACAAATAAGCTTAATATTAATGGTCTATATATAGTCTATTAATTTCTCATGTTAAATATTTATGTATCTTTTAAAACATATCGCGGTAGAATATTCATATTTTTCATTTTGTGGACAGATGTAACATTATTATTCCATACATGTTATCATTAATCCCAGCGTGAACTGCTTTAGAATATTTTTCAGAGCATTATTACACTATGCATGTTATTATTAATCTCAACGAAAAAGAAAAAATAAATGTAATATATTTAAAAAATTCGACAAAATAACTTAACATACATTAAAAATGGAATATTATCTCTTTAATACATGCGATAAGTTCGCCTTAAAAGATTATATAGTTGGATAGCAATTACATATTTGTAAAAGTATTCAATGTATATTATTTTTTGTGTTAAGATAGTTTTAATCCTAGGACAGTCTTTACCAACTTATAAAGCATCTATTAAGTTGCATTATAACCAACATTTACAAAAGGCAATAATCGAAATGCCATGACTTTGACATATTTTTAACTATGATGTAACATACTAGGAACATTAGAGAAAAAAAAAATTCTATTTTTTTCTTTATGCTTGTTGAAAAGTAAAATATTAATAAAATGGTACAACATTCATTCTAGTACTTAAAATGTAAATTTACATATAAATTTACTATAAATTTTGGTGCAAAGTTCATTATAAAATGCATTTGCTAATATTTAATAGTTATAGCATTCAATATCAAATCATGGAAATTTAAGTAATGATACGTCAGTTGCATATATTAATTTCAATACTCAGCTTAAATTTCTTCTATATTTGAGATAACATGTATTTTTTAAGTATAATTCTTTTGTGTCATCTTTTCATTTAAAAATCTCTTTGAGATATATTTTAATGTGAATTATTTTCAAAATTATCCTCATTAGAATGAATGTTGTTCTCTTTCTTATGTTTGAAACTGCCGTTACGCTAAAAAATATATTCAAAAACTATTTATTGCTGAATGTTTTAAAATAAGTTCTACTGCTCCTTTTTGACAAAGAGTATCCATTTGAATTGCAGTTGGTTTTAATTAATCGTTGGTTGTATTTTTAAGCAACTACTTGATAAAATTCAACAAATTAGTTCAATCTATGAATTCATCTGAAATTTTTTATCTGTTCATCTAAACATTTTTATTCCAATTCTGTCATGTGTATATAGTATTTCAAGAATGAAAAAGAATTACAAATTCACTATCCAACAATACTGAGTAATATTTAAGTTTGTTAAGATGATTAGCCAAACTTAAAATGACCCATTTTATAGAACACAGTATTAAGGGATAAATCATGCGCGTATTTTTCGGTCATCGAATTTCTTTGGCGTTAAAAGTGTCATAGATTTAGTAAATCCAAGGGTCAAGGTAAGCTCAGAGATTTTTTTTCATAGTTCATATTTGCTAAGTTATAAATTTTGCTTGATGCAAAAGTTATGTAACTTATGCAAACATATGCTTAGAGTATTTGAACTAGTGTTGAAAAATCACTGGAATTTAAAATGTTATTGACAGTATGCCTTAAAGCCTGTTTTGGTAAAAGCATATTTATGGGGGGCCCGTTGGCAAAAATTCGCGATCTTCGGACAGTACATGGATACTGAAGTTTGTGCAATTCTTTGACCATGTTATTTTGGCTTGTGTAGTGACGATTTGTGTGCCAAAAACCGTCTGCTACACAAAGACAAGAGATTGCAAATACTCAGTATCCATGTACACATCGACCTGTTTTCACTTAAAAAAAAATCCTGCGAATTGTACAAACTTGCCATCGCGCACTTCCCTTGACTTTATCCATGTACACATCGACCTATTTCACTTCACTTAAGAAAACATCAGAGAATTGCACAAACTTGCGCTCCCTTGATAATACAGGGTGGCACCCTTCAATATACTCTCTAACTGCTGTTTTTCATAAATTAAAACATTTTAGGCATTTAAGATATTTTCCTGTAAGTTCTAAACTAAATGAATGACTCTTAAGCATAAAAAATTTGATATTTTATGCTTAAGAGTAGAAGGAGTTATACACTTTTTAAATAACAGTGTCAGAAAAATATACTTTTTAAAATATGTAAATTATTGTTTGAAGTACAGAAAAACCTACCTTAGCAACTATACCTCTTTAAGTGACTGTGTCAAGTATTCTGGTGATACAAACATTGATATTAATTATCACTGAGAATCATGCTTTGTGAAGTAACCACCTCCATTAAATATCAAATTTGTACAAAATTATGGAAGGTTATAGAGAGGTTTTACTGTATACTTAAAGTATATCATATCACTCTTAGATATTGATGATGTAAAAGATATTATCTAATCATAACTATTTCAAGCATTAAATAGCTTAGTGTAAGTCAATAAGTTTTCAAATTCTGACTTTGTACCCTGTCTTTCACTATGTAAAATTTTTCTAGCAACTGTGTTAAGTACCAGTAAGTAAGTTTCTGTCTTAAATACCACTTAATGTAATCAGGTATCATCTGTTCTGTCTGTAAAACTTAATCGTAATAAGTGAACAAATGAATATCTGTAAAACTAAAGATGACACACTATGTAAACAATACAAGTATTAAAATGTCTATGAGAGGAACATTTAAAATATTAAATCCACGATCAACTTTTGCGACATCTAAGATAGAAAATACCCAAACTGACTAGTTAATTCAGAGGATGAATGCAAGTAACATCATTGTTCATGTGTTTGTTAATTGTGTAAGTTTTGAAGTTCATGCATTAATTGATGTTCATTGATAACTATATTGTTGGCCTTATATATATACTTGCATTTCAAAATTTTGTATATTTTGCCAGTGAGCTAAGTATTAAATGCTGTTACGTTTAAGTTCATATTATGTGGAAAAGTAGTTTTTGATCTAACACTTTCTGAGAATTTTTTAATGTTCATCATCAAGCTTAAAGCATACGGCCGAAATTACCAGTATTAACCATAATTTAATTATTCTCTTGTTTCAGCCTTTCTCAAACTTTTTTCGAATAGAGATTATGTGAATTATCATAATTTGTAAATCACCTTGCTGCTGTTCCCTTCGAAAGCAATTTTTTAGCATATATTACTACTAGTACACTTATATTTTTAATATATAGTTGAAATCCTGTTATATTTTATAATTAAGTCCATTGAAGAAAAGTTATATTTCTAATATTTCAAGGATTATTAATGAGAAGGATGAGTTGTAATTCTTGCATGGCTCTTCCTATATTTGGATATATGATGGTAAGACCACAGTCTTAGTGGATATATGATAGTATATTTGGATATATGGTGGTAAGTACCACAATTATAGTGCTTTAATCCATCCTCTTTACTGCTAAGACTGAGTGGGAAGTCTGTAAGTAGGGTAACCAATAATAAATTTCATAAAATGTCTATCTTATGAGAAAAGGTGATAGATGATTGTCATATGTAACTTTTAAACTAGGAGATTTTTCAACTAAATTTTTTGTCTCCTTTGGAAACTTCGGAGGACCACGAGGGCAAGCTGTATAATCCACAGATTGAGAAGTGCTATCTTAATACATTTCAATTTCTAGAGAAATTAATCTTAAAAAAAATCTGATCATTATTAAAAACTACTTTACAGATTTATTTTATATTACAAATAAATATAGTAAATATCTAATAAACCTCAAATTAT